AAATAAACAAAAAAAAAGTAAAAAAAAAAATTCATATTAATGGCTGCATTTGACAGCACAAATATTGTCTTAAGTCGTAAAATACAGCCAAACCTCCCAACCACAGACACCGACGAGAAGGTAAAAACTGGCCGCGATTTGAAGGTTAATTTATTAAAAGTTCCGCTGTTGGGAGGTCCGACTTAATTTCCTAATTAAATTATTGATACATTTCCCCAGAGCGCGTTACGTGACATCACTTTCCGTTTCCTTCTTCCTTCCTAATTTCTATTTTGGAACGAAATTTAAAGTATACTTCGGGATATTTCTCAATTTCTGAAGTAAATTTCGCGTTCCAGATACGCACGAGAGGGTCGACAACGTGCAATTGTCACGTGGCCAGCCGTTTCCTGGAAGAGATCGTTTAAAAGAACGTCGTGACCATCGCATTTATCCCACAGAGATGACTTTCACTAGTTTTGCTTTGCTTTCACTCCTCCTTGCCATAGCTTCAGGTAAGTTTCTCTCTTGAATTCATTACCCGTGTTTATTTAACGGGCGTTAATCCCAATCGGTAGATCGCGATCGATTTCTCTAAGGTAGTGTTTTCTACTAACTTATAAGTATAAGAAAAACTAGGTCTGATTTACAGATAAATTAAATAACCTACAGCTTGGGGCCCTTCTAAATTACTATATATTACAGGAAAAATTCCCTTAGTTTTGAAGAAGGGGTGTTGAGGTTACTGATTATAACCTTTCTCTTCTCATCAACTTAGACTCTAATTAGCTTTAGAGTTCAAAGGTTTTTTACAAGTGCCCTTAAAGATGTCTTCTTGTTTATGTTCAGGATAAAGGATCCTGACATGGAAGAGTAAGGAAAATTCGGCATCAAGACATCATTTTGTTAGGAGATGTCAATTCTAATCTCTAAGTTATCAAAAATTTGATTAAATTAGCAATAAAAGGAAGCCAAAAATCAGTTAACAAAGCCATTGTATTTCCTACTCCTAATTTTATTATTATTTTTATTCCAGGAGGAATTTTGGAACCCGACGAAAACTGCAACAGATACGGAGGTATCTGTGCCACTCGAGATTCGTGCCCCGAAGTGAGAGAAGAAAATGGGAAGAATTTATGCCCCAAACACGAGAAAGTCGGAGGAGTCTGTTGCGCCCAAAGTGAATATTTCGTTAATCTCTGTTTTTATAATTATACAGTAAATTTACCTGATGGAAAATTGATTTAACTCGACACTTTTTGCACTATCTTACAGTTCCCACTGACGTTACCGACTGTGCGACTCATGGTGGCGCGTGCTTTGACGATTCAGAGAGATGTCACGCCATTTTGACCCGCGCTGTATGCCCGAAAGGGTTAAAATGCTGCCTTCTGGAATAAAAATAAATTTATATTCTTTTTCTATTTATAATAAATTTAAATTTATATTGAAAATGTAACTTGTTTGGTTACTCACTTGGATTTCTTGTCCATTATAGCACTTGAAATTCATTCAATTTTGAAATTATCCATGAATTTCCTTTTAAAAAAAATACATTTTGAGTCTGTATTTTTGTATCCTGATATCATATTTTTATGAAAAATATGATTAAAATGACAATGTTTTTAGAGCAAAATCACAATTTTTGGGTTCACAGATGCCACATTGCAAGTAATTGCTTTCGATAATAGTGGACTGGTATAATTACTGGGACCAGAGTTAAATCGTTACAGGTCTAAGCTATATGAGGCCCTTTTCTATTAAATAATAGTAAATTTAAAAGCAAAAATTAATTTCTACCCCACAAATCCAGCAAGAATTGCAAAAAAAAAAAAAAAATCACATTTAAACCATTGCTGGAGAAATTTCTGTGGGCAATAATGGGATCTTTTAGTCCTGGTGTCCACAAGATGAGAATTCCAAGTTTATTTTTATAAGATTCGGCTGAACCCTTGATCGGCGGGTTCGAGTTTGGCTTGTGCACTTGCACTTTGTGGGTCACATACATGCATAAGGCATCATGTTATGGGAACCGATATTTTCTTGTGGAGGAATCATACCAAATGTCGCTTTATGCGAGGGATTCACAGTGTATATAAGAACAGAACTGTCTCGTTTGTATGTAAAAGTACAAAAGACTCATGCTTATATTGGGAGAACTGACTGATATGAAATAATTTTATTATCATTGCATTATTATTCAATAAATTACATCAATATAAACTTCAGAATTGAAAATAAAATGCTCCGCGAATGACCGCTTCTACGTCATATCACAGTTGGAAAACAGAAGAAGTTGCAGTCATCGCATTGTAAATATATGTATTATTGAAAGGTACATACTGTCCCGTGACTAATTTAATTACTTCTTGAGCTGCACAACCTCCGATAAAGGATGCCACGGAATGAAGTTCACACGCTCCGTAACGACACCTAAAAATACATTTATTAAATTCAATATTGATAATGTAAAATTATAGTAATATACTTAATTGTTCATTATATCGAGTGGTTACTAAATCAAGAATGCACTTTGTGTCACTTGTAAAGATAGACCAAACAATCCCAGAATGGCAGATAAAAAGAAAAACTTATATCTTCTTATTAGAAATTTCAGAATAAAATTTTTAACTCTTTCTATCCTGTGAAGAGGCTGAGGATATTTTTTCATACCAATCATGGGTTTGGCTATACCTGTAATGGCTACAACCAAGCAGTGTAAGTCACTGTTAAACGCGAGATGATGGAATTCATATAGGATGATCCGGGAAATTCCATCATCTCGTGTTTAACAGGAAATCAATGCAAATTTCTGTGATGTCAGATTTTTTAAAAGGATTTTTAAATATTTTTAAGTGAGAAAGAGATTCATAGAGAAAGGTTAACTATGCTTTTATTCCTTTGTTATATAAGGCTGTACTAAGACTCAAAATTATTTTATCCGTCTTGAAATTATATCTATTTTTATAACTAAATTGCCATTCTAGATTTTATTATACAGCTTGTTAAATAATAATAATTATTATTATTATTATGAATACTGTAAGAGAATAATAATACTTTTCACATATTAGGAGGAGAGTGAACCGAAAATAAATTGACACACATTTCTTCTAATGTGGTAATCTTTCTCAAAGTATTCTCTGCAGAATTCAATTCTGCCAGTAATGAAGAGATGAAGTAACGGAATCTTTGTGGTGTTTTTCAGAATTAACTTTGTGCTTTGATGACAGCCTTTGTCAACAGAAAGAAGCTGCAGGATGGCAAATATACTTGGCCAGAAACACAGTTACCAGGTTAGCAGCATTTGGATGTGTATTATCAATTTGTCATAAGCAGACAGCAGACAATATTTTCTCAAAATACTCTATCAGTCAAATAGAGTCCCCGCGTTTCTTTATGTAGCACTCGAGAAGTACTTTACAGCGAATACACCAAAACTGGTTTCTAATTGGCCGACACTGCTCATGACGTCATTTCGCTACATAAAGAAACGCAGGGAGTATTATATTTTGTGCAATTTGCCTTAAATGCCAATGCCTTATGGAGACAAAGATCTGGATTTTCCTACATCTATACTTTAATAGGAAGAAAGAAATCAATCTCAATTTGTTTCGGCTCGTTCTCGTGATTTTATCATTTGTGCACGAAGGCTACGGAACTTGAGCTTTAAATCACTATTCCAGAAACCGTTAAAATTTATTATTAATTATTCAATTTAAAAGCTAAATAATTAGCACAATTAGAAATAAACTATATATTTTAAAATTATTTTTATTTAATATTGAAAATGGTTCCTTACAGCAATACGAAAACATAAATGTAAGTTACGATAAATGAACAGGACATCAATCAAACAGAAATAATTAAATGAAATGACAAGACTTACATTTCATGTATGTAATCATCTTTTCCAAGAGGTCCATGATTCCATTCTTGTAAAAGGCGATTCAGGCATCCCTAAAAATACAAGTTTAGAAATTTAGTAACAACAATAAATGCCCATCATTTAATATAGAATATCTCATAAACTGGCATTAGTTTGAAAGTTAGAAAAGAAAATTATAATTAGTTTTATATATACACGTATGGGCTGCTTAACAACAGAGGTTCCATAAAATTACAATGGCGTCAAAAAGTTTGTAGCTGCCATAATGATGCGTGATGGCAGTGACGTTGAGTAATGCATTAATGCATGAACAAACCTACAGTGTAACTAGTCATGTAAAAGTATGTAAGGTGTGTCTAGAAAACTCAACAACAATTGCTATAAATTACAGTGTCATTGTAAATACAATACAAATACAGTAGAGCCTCAAAAACTCAGCCTAATGTGGACCGAAGGGTGGCCGAGTTTGTGAAAATGCCGGGTTATCGGGAATGAGGTTTAAAAAGGATAAGTATGCGTGTTTCCTCAGAAAATATTGTACTGTACTTGCATATATTGTTTGCTTGAGAATACAACAGAGAATAAACTGCCCAAATACCCTTAAACAAAGGAAAAGTACGTCCTTTATGAAGGCATAGAGCCTCTAATACATGAAAATGAAAATTAATGAATACACTGTGTACAGTAATTTACCTGATAAGACAGACCTCAGAAAAATACTTTATGAGGCATAAAGCTGTCTATGATGAAAATTAATTATCTACTGGTATTTTTGCCCTGCCAGGGTGCGGCCGAGTTATCCGGAGTGCCGGGTTATCGAGTGCCGAGTTTTCGAGGCTCTACTGTATAATTTTACAATAAATTAGAAAAGTTTTAAACATTGAAACATGAAATACTGTATTTACTGTATCTTTTATACTTTTATATGCATAAATATTTATCATTGTGATACAATTGTGTCATGTATAGCCTGTATGAGTAGTAGATTATATCATGCAAGGTTTATCTACGTGCACGCTATGACATATTTCTAAGAATGTATCCCCATTGTTGAGTAGTACATACCTGCACTTACATGTTACTAATTTTAATATATGTATTTGTGTGTACATCAGTGGCGTGCTGTGACATTTGATGATAGGGAAGCTGTGTTTCTGTAAGGGCTACAATTAAAAAATAAAATAATAAAAACTTACTTGGTGAAATAAAATGTATGGTGGATGTACCGGTACGTACCTGGTACAAAATATTCTTCACTTGTATGAATATACTTTTAAACAAAATTATAATTAAATATAGCTTTGTAAAGAAATGTAAATAAAAATAACAAAATATTCTTTACTTTTTAAATCTTAAAACAATGCACTTAGTCAAATAGCTCCCCATGAGTGGCTAACGGATGGAATCGAAGACGGTTGCAAAGCATGCATACACGCAGACTGCCAAATCCCCAGGGCACTGATACTGGTCAATGTCAAATACCTCTTTTGTCGCATCACTAATATATCTCAAAGGACGCGACAGGGCTGTTGTAGATTTTAAACGTTTCTCACCATAGCTGTAAAAATCTAAATATGTTAAACTTAAAAGTCATTTCTCTTCTAACTAATTCATTTTAGGTCCAAGTGTCCTCAGAAATTTCCAAAATTTACAACTTTTCAGTCACTTTCATTGAACTGGAAAAATTTCTGTCTTTATTACATTAATAATATGAAGAAATCAGTCTCCACTGTACTCAGCTAGAGATGGTTCGGTTAAGCTTTTGTTTAAGTAAAATTTCGGCTTTCATCAGGGTTTTGTTTATGTCCCCAATTCCCTAATCGCTTAATTATTTAACTACTTCTTAAGTAGAAATAAGTCGAAACCAGTTACTTTGTACTCGAATATTTGTAGTCTTGGGAAAAAAGTGGAAAGACAAATTTTTATGACAAAC